ACTGAGATTTCAGGGCTTGTTGCCAGAGCCTGGCCTAGCCCATCGCAACACTCTGTGTCATCCAGTCCCGGTCAAGGAGATGGAAGGGAGGTGTCCTGTGGAGTTTCTGAATGGGTATTTCCATTTCCAATAAATATCCTTTTGTTGACTAAAAGGAGATACATATAAGGAACACTTACCCTGGCTAGCTGTCATTACCCTGGCTAGCTGTCTGCTTTTGGATTTTAAAAAAAGTCTCATTAGATTATAATGTTTGGAACTGCAGCAGCCATTATGTGCACAAAAGTAGGGACCAAGCAAATTCTAGAAACGACAATCCAGAACCTTAACATTGTGAAACTGCTGACCTAAACCGGGATTGTCTGATTACAGAATTCTTTTTTAACGAACAGTAAATGTGCCAATGGTGTCCGCCTTTTCTGTTACTTGCATCTGAATGCTTCTGCACGGATGCTAGTTGCAGCTGAGGATGAGGAGTGTGGTTAAAATGGATGCGTAAAATGAATGGAGGTTCTTGGGGGTAGGTAATGTCACTGTCATCTCTTGTCTTCTCTTCATCCCCATCCACACTATAATCATTGCTAAAAAATAAAAATAATCCTGGACGGTATTTCCTCGTCTGCAATGTGCATTCACGTGCATATTCTGGCTTTACGGTGAGAGGAGAATGGCCTCATAATGTAGGAGCTCAGAGCTCAGTCTCTAGAGGCGGGCATACTTGGGATCAAATACTGGCTCTGCCACTTTCTTTGCTGTGTGACCTTGGACAAGTGACATGAGCTCTCTAAACCAAAGCTTTCTCATCTGTATAATGGAACAATTATAGAAACTCCCATATAGTGTTCCTGTGAGGATAAAATGACATGACACAAATGAAGGTTTTAGCATATTGTGTGGGACACTAAAAACACTTATTGCACAGGATTCCCTCAAATAAATTAGATTTTGACTTTCTGGACATCCTAGGAAGATAGCTGGGGCAGGCGTTAACATCCTTATGGTATAGGAAATTGAGGCTCAGAAGGGTTGACTTGCTCCAAGTCAGAACCAGATTTTCATCTCAGGTCTGGTGGTTTCCATTTCAGGACTCTTTCCACAGTAACATGCTTGCCTGAAATTGCCAAAGAAGTAAAACAAAATAAAATCTAAATTTTGAGATGCTTCCTTTTTGATCTCCAATAAACAGAATCATTTTCACAAAGTTCACTCCTTTAGGAATTATTACTGTAGCATATGTGCGAATGTGAGAGATTGTTAAATTTATACTGAAAATAATATACTCTCAAAGTTTTTTCTTAATCTTCTAGTATCAGCTTTTCTCCTCCACCTACCTTCACCTCATAAAAACCAAGTGAAAATGCACACCTTCATAATCTATACAAGGGGCATAGGTGCCGTTCTGCATTATCTGTAAAAATAGCAAAGCTTTTTTCTGTTTTTTTCTTCTTCATCAAAACTTTTAGTTTATGCATTATCTCCTCTGATATTTTAGCATTCAAAAAAGTCTGCTTTCTGTCTCTTTGTGGTTACGTGACTTTCAGCATCAAGTCAACGGAATACGAAGGAATGCATTTCGCTGTCCCGGAAGCTGGATGCACGCTACAGCTTTCCTCTACACCCTCACCCTCTGGCATCAGAAAGTGAGCAATATACCACTAGCCCTGTTTTTCTTTAAGCTCTGCTTAATGATTCCTTCCAACATAAGTTCAGGAACAAACACTGTTAAAACTTGAATATTATTTGTTTCATTAAACCTAGTTCAGTCACTGCGTGCTTTGGAAAGCCTCTCCTCTCTCAGTGGTGGCGCGACTTCTAATGGGGTACTTACGTCACTGTGCTGTCATTGATCTGCGTTGATGTCCACCTTGCCTTGGCTCTGCTATTACTCTTCTCTCCAACTCTAGTGCCTTGCATGGCACCTTGCCTGGTGCAGATAGACTCAATGTTTGTCAGTCAAGTAATGAGATCAGTGCCTGGTACATCCCCTCAAATGGGCGAGATTTCTTCAGGAGACTTAAAACCTTGTAGTGGAAGATATGCTGGTCGTGGGGTTAAATCAATATAGGGAGTCTGGCAGGCAAGAAGGTGAAGGTTATTATTAGACGCTAGCTTGTTCTCTCGGGTGCCTGCCATTCCTTCTTTCTTTGGTTGCTTGGTTTGGGAGACACACATTGATTTGATTCTGAGCTCTCCTATCGACTTCTGGGCCACAGGATGCTCCCGTCTTCATTATCTCTCCAGATTCTATGCAAATCCCTAGCTGGGTCCCGACCTTTCACCCTTGTTTGAATGCTACCAGTAGATTGGCCACTTGGATGTCTTGCTAGTATTTCCCACTCAACCATCCAAAGACAAAATATCTTTAGATTCAAAGCAGAGAGTACAGCACAGAGGATAAGGAAAAAAGAGAACCAAGCCAACATATCACTGGATTTGCTTTAGGAAGACAGAGCATTGGGGATCTCGGAAAGAGTAATTCTGCTGGAATCATGGCACACAAGCCAAAATGGTAGGGGTTCTTGCAACCACTGCCTTTGGGATCCTGGGCCTCCCTCACTCTCCTGCAAACCTGCTATGTGACCTTGGATAAGTCACTCCCCTCTCTGGGATTCTGTTTCATCAGGAAGTCAAGGTTGGACTAGATAAGCCATTCTCCATGTTCCGGAAAACACCAGAATGCCCTGGAAAGCTTGTTAATAATGCATATTCCATGCTCCCCGCATGCTGATTTCAGAGAGCTGGGGGAGGCCAAGGAATCAGCATTTTCAACAGGCTCCAGGGTCGAAATGATTTCCTGGACCCAAATCTCACAGCTCCCTCCAACCCTGGCATTCCCTCAGTTGTCCGGTTTGGGGAGCAGAGGGTAGCCAGGAAATGCTGGCAGCCAGCCAGTTCTGTTTAGGAAAGTGTAGCCACAAAAGCAAGCCAGATGGCAGGAGGAAGGGCCGCTCAGGGAGGGCTAGATTCAGTGTCCCTCAGACAGTGCCTGTTGGATTGAACTGGACTTGAGGAGACCTCAGTCCTAAGACAGTGGGCAGGACGGAGAACCTGCCTCAGCTCAGCCCGTCTCCTGCCCCACTCAGATGCTCTAAACAAAGGTTACAAACTAGAATTGTGTTTGGCCCACACAGTGTTATTTTTTTTTTTAATTTTCCAACACTTAAAAACTGGAAGACTTCATATGTGAAAATTCCGGATTTCTCTTGGAAAATCTGCAGGATGAGCCAGCCGGGACCCACATCCACGCAGGACGTGGGCTGGAGCTGAGCAGCTGCGCCCCCTTCGGGTGAAGGCAGCATTTCGTGGCCCGTACAATCCCGCCCGCCGGCTGCCTTAGTCACTCACCACCTGGCCCGTCAGAGGGGGCTTTTGAGTTGGCTCCGAGTCTAAAATTTGCTCTGGGATAAAGCCAGAGCCGCAGAGAGCAACACACTGGGAGAGCATGGCACCGCCTGCCCCTGAGGATTATGGAATTGCCTCTGGACATGACGTTTTCACCCACCGTAAGAACATTGTTAAGAAATCAGCAGAGTGGAACTCACTGCTGTGTTTATGGCAAGGTTGCTGTCGAGGCCATGCGCCTGTATGTCACATGGTTTCTTCTCAATGACAGCACACTGGAGAAATCTCCTTATAGTCTCCATACCCGGATTGCGATACTGGGGTTTCTCTTGAAGATCAGCTGTATTTGTAAATCATGTGAATGGTGCACAGGATTGTTCCTCTGTGCTCAGCACCAACCTCAGGGCTCACCTCTCAGAAGCACTCCATGGCCTGCCCTGGGGTCCACCCTTATGAGTGGCCCCATTTTACTTGTTTTACTACTGCTTTCTCCTACTTCTTTTTTATTTATTTTATCTTAGTATAATATTTGTATCTTTGAAGAGTCAGACCTTCAATCTTTATTAGAATAAGGCAGCGTTGGGGGCTGGTCCCATGGTCGAGTGGTTAATTTCGAGTACTCCGCTTCGGTGGCCCAGGGTTTCGCCGGTTCGAATCCTGGGCGCAGACATGGCACTGTTCATCAAGCCATGCTGAGGCAGCGTCCCACATGCCCCAACTAGAAGGCCCCACAACTAAAAATACACATCTATGTACCAGGGGACTTTGGGAGAAAAAGGAAAAATAAAATCTTTAAAAAAAAAGTCAGGGTTTAAATTCCTCTACCCTACATATACCTTGATTATAGCACTTCCTACAAGGTACTATACTTACCTGTTTAGATGTTGGTCTTCTACTAGATTGTGAAGATGGTGCAGCATTTTATTATCACTGTGTCACTGATGCCTAGCCCAGAGCCCTGCATATAGTTGGCATTTAGTAATGTTTATAGAATGAAATTAAAGATGTTGGAAAACTGGAAGAGGTTGGAAAGGTATGACAAGGCACGACCTGTCAGACCAGAGGGATGGAAGAGACCAGCTGCTGTGTCCTGCCATTTTTCTCTCTAACTGAAGGAACATCCCATTACTCCAGTTATGTTATCGCTTAAGGATATCGAGTTTGGAGAATTCCTAAGGGTTTTCTTTTGGCATAGTGGAGAGAAGATGGACTTTAGAGTTGACTTGGAGTTTGAAACCCAAGAATGTCTGTCTTTTTTTTTTTAATGATTGTGAGGATTTTGCTTAACCCTTCTGAGTTTTGTGTAGTTTCCGGTTCTGAAGTATCCTTAACTCCCGTATCATTTGACACTGTACGTGAACCTTTAACTCTCTAACACTCCTTTCAGGATAGAAATCTTAGAATACTTATCTATATACGTATAGACTAGACATATGAAAACATTAAATAATTTTATTCTTTTTTCCTTTATATTACTAACAGTAGCCCAGTGTTAAGCATTTTAGAAAACCTGAAGAAATAAAAAAATTTGGGGTTTACACATGTATGTATAAAAATATATATTCAAATAAGCAAATATCTGCTCATTACGTTGCCCAGCTTTAAGAGTGCCAAAAATAAATAAATAAAATATCTGGAAACCAAACGAGAAGGCTAGATAGTTTTGTTAAAATTCATTTTAACAATTTTAGCCAACCAACATGTGCTAAGGAAATTCAAGTTAAAGTTACAGCCAGCTAATATGACAGAAAACATTGTGTGTGGCTACTTAGGAGTATTCCTTAAGTAGAATCTGCATTGTGCTTAGAACATAGCTAGGTTTACAGTTTCAACAGTAAGCAGCAAAAAAGATCAAGAAAATTCTCAACTTTTCTAATAACCACTCTATAATAGCAAGGAAAAAAATGGAAAAGGTACCACCATCTTTTAACAATGGACTCAACTGTAGGTATACTGTAGGTATACCAAACACTTGGGGAAAAAAATGCTAATATGGTAAGATCCTTGGTTAATTGTCTTTGATTTTAAAAAAGCCACAAAACATAAAATACTTGCTTGCCAGTGTAACAGATTTAACCCATGAGCAATAACCCAAACCATCTTTTCTCCATCAAGTACTTTAATAGTGCAAAATGTTAGTCGTCTCAGGTCTCAGCATTCGCTGCTCACCACATGCTGTCACTGAAGCCTGGAGGTATCGTTGCCAAGGAAAATGCAAAGTAGCCAAAAAAATACAATGATTCACTCCTAAGCCAGAGTCTCAAAGTAGACAGGCAGTTTCTTATATAAGAGATGAAACAAGTAATTCAAAACGTCCATAAGCTCACATAAGATACAGTACTGAATCTTCTGACACAAAAACAAAGGCTAATTACATTGCTACTTTGCACAGTATTCAACATGGACAAGCAGATCGCGATGTTCGGTGGCGGGATACTGTATGTTGCACTTGGGACACTCCACCAGGCTTTCATTCAGTGCAGCAGAGGGACTTTTTGGCGAGGCAACTGTTCCTCTGTTTTCAGCCTCTCCTTGGACAGTGAATAATGGCTCTGTGAAGGCAAGCTCACGAGGCTGCTTCTGAAAAATAAATGTCAGATGAACACCGTTTGTATATAAGGCTGACCGTTCAACAGTTGTAACTGCTTCCAGAGGCTCCAGCTGCTTCAGCCCTGCAGACAGAAATTTCTTTTGAATCTCTGTTCATCAGTATTATGGCGGTAACATACAAGGTGGTTATAAATTACCCAAATTACCCAGGAAGGGCTAAGCCTGGGTGTTTATATGGATAGGTTTTATTAAAATGCTTAGAGCCAAATGTTAAGGTAGGCCTGTGTGCAAGGCTGACAAAATTTGGTAGTTTTGTAAAAGAGGGTCAACTTCATCAATAAAGAACTATATAGAATTAATTAATTAAAGAATTTTAGCAGATCAAACAGGTTATACACAGAAACAACTAAGATATGGTATAATACCTTTGTGACTTTCCTTTTTGATGTTTTTTTTCTGAAGAACTGAGAATAGTCAGTAAAGCTTAAAAATGAGTATTTTACAGTATACTGTGAAGATGATAGACAATAAAAGCACAAAGAAAAGTACAGGAAAATTATGGATTCTTTTGTATACCCTCTGGCTTTCAATACTTTGAAAAACAGTAATTAACAGAAATGAATTACAAATTTCAATTTCAAATATTATAAATGGTCAAAATCAATGACATACTAAAGAACAGAGCCAAAAATATATTTTCTGTCTTTTATTCATAAAGAAGTTACAAATGATTTTTTTTTAACAACTGCTTTTTTTTCTCTTCTGAAAACTGAAGAATTCTACCTGTAACGTTTCACCATCTGCAAATATTCTGCAAGACGATATGTCAAATATGTGCTAATGGGACATACACACACACAAACACAGAACCCAACAGGTTTGGTCCAAAAGCTTATTAGTAAGATGAAAATAGGTAAGTCAAAACCATTTCCTAATAGGAACAATGTTATTTAAAAGGTTTGTTTTAAAAGATTATGTGTTCAGTGTATCCCACAAAATGTGCTTTAATTCAATACACCTAAAACAGTGTATTAACAGTAATCGTCCATCATCCTTTCAAAAAGCATTTCTTTCTTTCTCTTTAAATAGAAAAACATAATTCCAGCTCAGGATCTATGATTCTCCTCCCTCACCCTCTCCCTCTGGGATCACAGCACCCAGGAGGTTGGAGGGGATGACCCCAGGCACTGGTGATGTAATCACCACCAAGAGATTCATAACGTCCCTCTTGCTGGTGCTCTGAATAGATGCTCAAAGGGCAATTGATTCAAATGAGGCAGAGGCTCTGCCTGTTGATTTGAGAATCAACATTCTTTCAGCTGTATCCTCCTAGTTTGGTTTGATATATAAATGGAAAGATGGAAGAAAGAGAAAGAAGAAAATAAGTTTTAGTTTATCCATTCCAGACTCACCAAGAATTCCAACTGTGTTATTTGATTTCTTGCTTTTCGGAGCTCTTTAAGAATTACATGCAACTGATGCTGCATATTTTGACGGTCAAGTTTTTCATTTTCGAAGTCTAAGGTACATGCCTGCATCTGGAAAAAATGCCCAGGACAAGACAAGTACAGCTAGTATACACTGTCCAGTTCTCTTGACTGGATGCTTGCATTTTTTTCATTAGCACAAGAAGCAAACATCTGTTGTATCATCAGAGCAAGAATTCATTTGAGCACAGTGAGATGCTGATAAACAAAGAAGCTTATGGTTGAGGATTTGGTTTATCCAAGGGGCAAAGCCAATGCTTGAGGTACAGGTGAGTAAGGAGCAGCTTGAGAAATTACTGCTTAGAATTTGTCCTCTCCATCCTCCTTTTTGTGGGGAAGGGGGAGAAGGGAAAGAGATGGCTATTCCCTGGTTTGGAATATATTAAAAATCTCTGGTCTGTATTGTGAGAATGAATGGTGTCTCTCTGAGTTCTACTGGAGGTTATAAGATAGCACTATTATGGAGATCTTGTTAGAACTACTCTTGTAATTGGAGTAGGAACTACAGAAGCCGTTTGGGGAAGAATAAAATTTGCCAAGGCAAACATCTACCTGTCAAGAAAACTGCCATCTCATCTCAGAGAAACTGGTTTAGCCTAAAGACAGTAATAGGAATATATGGCTAGCATAGATAGTCACAGTAAGCATTTAAAAAAAAATTTTTTAACAACATTTTTCACAACTTTCAAATGGTCCACAGAATAGTGTGAACATGAGGGAAAAAAAATCCCATTTTCTAATGGGTAAAGTTGAATTTAGAAGCAATGTCAATGAGTACCTGTTGTTCCAACAGAGCTACCCTTGTTTGTTCTTCTTGCTGCTTTAACAGAGACGTGTAAAGAAACTGGACCTGAAGGATGTAAACAGAGCCAACAGCGTCATATCCGAGCTTTTATCGCTTGACCTGGGATGCACGAAAGGCTCACAAGACTCACATCCCTAACCGGGACAACACCCGCTAACCCGGACAACACCTGCAAGTCGGGGTGAGTCACTCCAGCTGGTGGTTTGATGGCTATCTGTGCACCTGAGCAGAACCACCCAGGTGGACAGTTCCCTGAGGCCCAGACTGAAAGCTGATGACCATCACTGAACTCTACATCGGACACGCCCACTTTCCTGGAGGTTCTGACATCTATAATACTTCTCAGTGGGATACAAAAGCTAGCAGTGCCTTGCCTCCTTGGCCACAGAGTTGGAGAAAAATTCTCAATCATTTTTGCTTAATCTTTCGTAAATATCACTGCTTGCACCTGTAGGGAGAAGTGCGGGTGGTAAAGACTAAGAAGGCAAATGTTACAGACTATTTTTTCCCCTCTCTCAACTTTTGGAGGACTTAAAAAATTCCTACTCTACTAGTAGCAATAACTAACATTTACCTAGCCCTTTAGTTTACAAAGCACGTTTACACTCTCTCAGTTGACCTGCACAAAAGCCCTATACGGCAAGAAGAGGTAATTATTATTAATGGACACACGAATAATCTGCAAGCCAGAGAAGTTAGCTGATTTTCCTAAGGCCACACACCCTGACCTAGAGACCTTGTATGGACCCCAAGTGATGTTTCTTCCATTATTCTATGGTGCCAAGCAAAATTTAAATTGAGGTTCTGTTGAAGTAGTATTCAATTCTAATAATCCTAACTTACTAACTCCAACATTACTGAGACAGACCTCCTGGCATAAAGCTGTGAGTATGATGAGAACGTGGAAGGCGTCACATGAATTAACGTGAGCACAGCATCAGCAGCACCAGCCTAGGAATCAACCTTGAGTCCGTCTTCACTTCACCTCTTTTGAGTTCTTACACATATTTACCTCCTCCTCATTCAGAGACTTGTGTATGTGATTTCCTCTGCCAGGAGGAAATTCCCACAGTCACTCACTTCCCTGGTTCCTTCTTGTCACCAGCTCTTTGTCCAAATACCATCTCCTCAGTGAGGCCTCCACTGGCCCCCAACTTCTCCTTGTCAAATTACCCTGCTTTATTTGCTTTAGTTTACTTGTTTATTTAGGTACTTGTTTATTTAGGTACTTGTTTATGGTCTGTTTCCGATCTAAACATGAACTCCCAGGAGGGGGCAGGAGCTTGGTTTGTTCCTTGCTCCTTCCTAGTGGTTAAAATAGCCTCTGACACACAGTAAGTACAATGAAAATTTTGAATTATGAATCATGGAAAACCTTACTGGTGAGGCCCACCTGAGATAAGAGCTCTTCAGATCTCTTCTTCTCTTCTTCAAGTTTTTCCCTAGCAATATCATTCTCTTCCTTGAGCCTCTGGATTTTCTCTGTTTTATGCCTATCATCTTCCAGATGTTGTACATCTGCCTTTCTTTGTGAGCATAACAGTTGATTTAAATCTTGAACTTCTTTTTGGGTTTCTTCATATTTTCTTCGAAATTCACTAAGCTCAAAACTCAACTGAGTTATGGTTTGTCGTTCAACCTCAAGATCTTTTTTTGCATTTGCCAAGAGCTGGTTGTAATATTTTTGCTTTTCTTCTTGAAGACAACCTATGACAAACACAACAGAGTACAACTCATTTTATAAAACAGATAATATTCCTGAAAAGATAAACATGAACAAGAACATGTTTCTATAAACAAGATCACCTTACAAAATGCAGAGTCAAGAGACAGGGTTGATACGTGACAGAACAAAAAACAGAAGTTCAGGTACATTATTTGAAGTTATAAAACTAATAACTAGAAGAACTAAAAATACTAACATAACTATTCTTTGGGGGAGGAAAAGTCACTAATATCTAAAGAAGATAAATCAACAAAAAGGGATATAAGCTCACTATTTATAGATAAGGTGACAATTACCAAAACTAAAAACAACAATGTTAACTGCAGCTGCCCTGATGGCAAGAGGAAATAGGGATTAGGATGGGATGGGAAAGGTGGGCCAGAGACCTTCTAGACTAGTATTAAATTATTTTAACAAGCATTCATATTACTTTGATAAAACACACACACACACACACACACAACTATATTACCAAGGAAAAAAATAAGACTTAGCCCATAACTAAAATCCTACTGTTTTCTTTTTAAAGATTGGCCCTGTGCTAACATCTTTTGCCAATCTTTTTTTTTTTTTTTCCTTTCTTCTCCCCAAAGCCCCCCAGTACACAGTTGTATATTCTAGTTGTAGGTCCTTCTAGTTCTGCTATGTGGGACGCCGCCTCAGCATGGCTTGATGAGTGGTGCTAGGTCCGTGCCCAGGATCCAAACTGGCAAAACCCTGGGCCATGGAAGCAGAGTGCACGAACTTAACCACTCGGCCGTGGGGCCAGCCCCCTAAAATCCTACTTGTATATGTAGTAAACTTATAAAGGTATTATAGTAGTAACCTTGTCCCCTTAGGGATAAATAGCTTTGAATTATCTCTAGAGACATTCCTTTTACATTTTCTTTTTAGCATTAGCTTCATTTTAAATATTTACATGTGAAGCTCCAAGATTATGAGCCTTGCTCACCTTTCTTATCCTTCTCTTTATATAATTCCAGGCTTCAGTCCCATTAGGGCTGTCAGTCATTTAAATGAGTGTTTTGCATGGCGGTTTCTCTTTTCCTAGTTCATCATCTGGAACTGCTGATCCTATTTCCCAACTATAAAGGGAGAATAAAGACCCTTCCTGCCCCATCTCTTAGCGTTCCTGTGAAACTCAACTGAGATCAATGTCAGGGAAGCTGCAAAGCACTTGACAAAAAGATAGCGTCATTCATGAGAAACTGTATCTCACTTCTACAGTGAGAGTCAGATGATTGAAGAATCATCTAGAAAATGTATTCTTTCTCCTGGGACCGATATGAATAAGTGCTGAAGGGAAGTAGAATAAAAAGATAATCGGTAACAAGGCCAGCTCTGGGGGAATAACGTTGGAGAAGGACTTTGAAGGAGGGAAGGACACGCACAGCGGGGAAAATTTAATGTGCCTTCAGAGCTGCCAGACATCCTTTCACCCCGTGCCTTATGCCCCCTTTTATCAGAAAACAATGGGAAATAAAACAGACTTGGTAAAATGGCATTTCTTGCTTCAGGGCTAGAAGACTTGCTTATTTTACTTCCTAACATATATCTATAAAAATCTAAATTTGATGAATCTCTTCTTTTGGAAAATGTCAGGCAGGCCTAGCCCAAAAGAACATTTTTATAGCTGTACCTTCTGATTCAGTCTTTTTTATCTGCTGTGGGAGTGAATGAGCAGCTGTTTCCGATTTCTGTTCCAACTCAAAGATCTTTGCTAAAAGTCCTTTTACATAGACCTCTCGCTGCTGATCATACACAAGCCACTGCTGATTTTTCTCCAGAGCCTTAAAATGAAAATGAAAGCAAATCAATAATAAAATTAGAAAACCAAAATCTTAAAATGGACAAGGGAGCCCAAGTGATGCAGTCTTTTCCAGCATGTAAAAACTGTTATGGCTCATATAATAGAATAATTCCAGGCAAGCACTGTATGGCTTACAACACAGAAATACATTCTAATGTCACACACCTTCAGAATACATAATAAGATGGTGAAGTCACATTTATACAGGGTTAAGTTCATTTGTCTGCAATCTCCTATACACTACTTGCTTTATATCTGTGTCGATGTCGTTCTCTGTAAACTAGAATGCCTTCATGTCAGAGATGGAGATGCATGCACTGTTGAGATACCATTTAAGAACGAGCTATTTGAACCCAACATGAGACTGCTCGGGAGCTCCCCCTGGACGGACAGAGACTCTGCAGGGTTTGCATCCTGGTCTGACGGTGCCCCTGCCCCATCCTGCTACCTTCCTTTTCTTTTCACAGATGTTGCTCCCCAGGAAACTGCTGGCACTCCTAACTCCATCTCAGTGTCTGCCTTCTGGAAAATCAAAAAGCCACTCCTCCTCTTTATCATCAATTTTCATCCTTTACATCTTTTAGAACTCAATTAAAAATTCCAAACTGGGATCACTCAACTGGTTTGCATAGGGGCTTAAGAACTCAGTAGTTATATATCTCTCTCTAAATTTTTTTAAAAATTATTTTAGCGATCATCTTCAGCTTTTTATCTGTTTGCTGTGTCTCTCAAATAAACAGTAAATTCTTTCAAGTGGCAGACCATGCTTTTATGAGTGGATTCCTAGCTTTTGCATATAATATATACTCAGGAAATTATTTGGATGATGGGATATTAATAAAATAGGCAGTGTCTGCTTAACTTAGCTGGCTACATGGAAGGTGGCTCACCTTCCTGTCCCTGCTAATATTAATTTTCCATTTCAGTTACATCTTTCCCTCAAGAAAGTAGATATGTTCTTGTATTGGATATCTATCTTATGAGGCCACCTAGCATAAGTTTGAAAATCTTATCACATCTACATTTTCTGTGGGTCACACCACCTGATCTGTGGCAAGATATTAGCAAATATTCACATAAGAAACCACTTTAACCTTAGTGGATAAAACAACGTGGAATATATGGACAAAGCTGTATAGATTTATGAAGTGTCTTTTTTTTTAAAATGAAAAATCCTATCGCTATTATTGTTAACTAGGACAAATTCATATATCCTCTAACTCTCACTGTTCCTCACCACCCGACCCTTGGAAATTCAGCCAAAGGCAAAGCCAAGGAATCGGCCCGGGCAGCCCAGCATCCCCAGCAATCACACGCTACCTCCTAACCTCCTAGGCCCAGTTTTGCTGGGGGAGGTGACTGTTTTGTTACTGAAAGCAGGGCACAGATTCAGGTTGAAAGCTAGCAAAGAAGACGATTCATCTGCTGGTGCTAGTGAAAAAAAGCCCAGAAATTCTTACGCAGCACCAACAATGAGATTATAACTGCTCTCTCCTTTCCAATCTAGCTGTTCAGTCCAAGAGGATGGGATTGGCCCCCTTTCGTTCTAAGTTCCCAAGAGGCTGGGAAATAAGTCTCAGTGACTATTTGTGTATAGAGGGCATGCATATCTAAACCTGATGTCACACATGTAAAATGTTATGGATGAAGGGTCCCGGAAGGAGGCACACATAGTGATGTTAACACCCCTTCACAATGGCCAAACTCTTTTGCACCGAGCCCTCTGCCCCTGCCACTCATGCTATGACCTGTCTGCCCCCAGAGGAATGCCTGCTTGAGCAATGATTCCCAGTTGGATCCCAGTAAACTCTGATTAGTTTTGGATTAAGAGAAAATAGGAAAAATGTGTCCAATGGTTTTTTTCTCAACAATAGAAATCCTCAGCTGGAGGGTGATTTCCCCATTGGGAAAGTGAGAGATGGAGGCCATCACCAAAAGCTTTAGGTTAATTAACACAATGATCACTCTATATTAGGGGCAAAATAGCTACCCCAAATAAGTTCAATTCAGCCTCTTCTTTGGTCCCCAAAGTGATAAGTCATTTAAATTATAACAATAACTGAGAATTTTTGAAAGCTTCATGACACCACTTGCTAAAACTGAAGCTATCTTCCCTTAGGCTGACAGTAAAATTGTCCATATCTGCCTCTTTCCATCTGTTCAGGGTATAACCTGGCCTTTTCTCTCTTCTACTGCTGCACTGTTGTCTACACAACTACACACGCCCTCTGAGCCTTACTTAAACTCTTGCCTCTGCCCAGAGTGCCCTAGAACCCCTTCCTATGTCACCTGCCCAGATAAATGCCATCTTTTCAGCATGTTCCAGTGAGTCCAGGCTTGTCTTTCAAGTCTCCTCACCACAACTGCCCTCACCAAGCTCCCTCTCCTTTGTAAGCCAAGAGTACATGTTTTTTAGAGATTTTATTTTTCCTTCTTTTCCCCAAAGCCCCCCAGTACATAGTTGTATATATTTTTTGGTTGTGGGTCCTTCTAGTTGTGGCATGCGGGATGCTGCCTCAGTGTGGCTTGATGAGCGGTGCAGTGTCTGTGCCCAGGATCCGAACCTGGGAAACCCCGGGCCGCCGAAGAAGAGAATGTGAACTTAACCACTCAGCCATGGGGCTGGCCCCAAGCCAAGAGAACTTTTAATGTCCATCCAATCTATTTGGCACCTTATACTCATGCTCTTGATTGCCTCCTGATTATTCTTCTTAACTAGATCATGAGGTCCCAGGACAGCTGGGGCCAGGCTTGTTGAGATTTTTTTTTTAAACTTCAGTGCATGTGTTTACTGTTTCCATAGCAAGCGGCTGCCTAATGAATATTTGTGAATGACGATGACATCAGGAGTGGGGAAACTGACTGCAAGAATCAGCAAGCACCCAAGCAAGTCTTTTAGCCCCAAACTGCAGTTTGAGAGTATTCAGGGAGCAAGGAGGGATGTGAAAGAATCCAGCAGTTCTTCACACACAGCAGAACATATTTAGAACGATTCCAAACAATCAAACTTTCAAAAATCTACTAATCATTAACTAATATCTGAAAACTGGCATCTCACTCTAGAGGGGTGAGATGGGCTAAGTGGTATGGAATATATTGGAAGTTTTTGGTTGTATATCAGGGTATCCTCTTTCAGGCAAAAATTCCATCTTTCAAAGATATAGACAGTTGAGCTCCGTGTCCAAAAAGATCTAAATACATGGAAACTCTAACTCTAGGGAGTTCTTCCAATCTTTGCTGGGCTGCTTCCATGAGCATCCTGCAAACTAATGAGCAAAGCTTCTGGGTATGTGGCTTAAAGGATTTTCAATGCCTGTTTTCTAAAGAATTAGGAAATGGATTAGAAAGACAGAGGTAGCCTCTGGAATCAAAGACTTAGTTCAGGGTCCTCCCTCCAGCCACTTGACCAGACACTTTTCTCTCTGCACTTGTCAGGCAGTTATAACATTAGTTCTCCTAATATAGCTCAAGAGTTCATTTATCAAGTGGAGGTACTATATAGGCACTCTGTATTATATATTCGAATTTAGTTGATAAGAAAGGTAGCATTGTATGACTCAAAAAGTATGCATATATCCAAATACTTATAAATCATGTGTGAGATGCTAAAGATATCTAATTTTACACCGCATTTTAAATTTGTCCAAAGTTAAGAAATATTTTAACATAAATAATTTAAGTCAATGTTGGATGGTCATGAAAATGTTCTTCTTTTAAATAAATTTGTCCATACATTACTTAAGTATGAGGAACAAGACTGTATTAAGATTTGAGACAATATTCCAAAGGGCCACATGATGGCGATGTTACTCAATAAAGTAGTAACATTTCTTCACTCCTGACCTTTCCACTGCCTCTTATGCATCTGCTCTCTTCTCTTAATAGTGTCAATAATAAATGGATTTGATAGCTATCAATAAATGTTGATATTATTAGCTGTGCATCTTTAGAGTCCTCATTGCGTTAGTTATCTCTTCCAGCTTTGTGTCATCTACGAATTTGTTAGACATGCATTTAACATTTCCATCCAAGTTATCAATAAAAATACAGAACAGCAGTGGGCAAAAGTGAAGCCCCGTGGAATGCTACTAAAGCTCTTCCTCATAGTTTGACAGGGATCCATTAAATATTCCTTGGGCAAAAATTCTAATGTAGATCAAAATGTTAGCTTATACTGGAGGAATAAAAAATGTGGGTCAATTGATAAAAGTGGAATATGGATGGTAGATTATTTAAAGTATTGTGTCCATGTTACATTTATTAAAGCTGCTATCTGTACTAAAGTCATGTAAGAGAATATTCTCATTCTTAGGAATATACATTGAAGTATATAGGCTTAAAGGGCTGTGGATATATGCAACTCACTCTCAAACGGTTCAGAAAAAAATATTTGTGTGTATGTGTGTGCATGGGGGTGGGGAATGAAAAGAGAGCGTGTAAAATGGCACAAAATGTTAACAATGGCTGAATTTTGGTAAAGGGTACATGGGCTTCTCTGTACCTTTTTCATTCTTGTAACTTTTCTGTAAATTTGAAATTTTTTCCAAATAAAAATTTTAAAAATAATTATTAATCTTCTCTAAATTCTGTGTTTAAAAGTCAGATTTTTTAAATTAAGAGCAAGAGATACCTTTGATAACTGCCTTTTAGCTATTTGGTTTCAAAGTTTCTGACACTGGACAATGTTTATAGCATTAACTCCATGTAATTATTTCAAAATGTTGGCCAGACCTAAATGGTAGCTGAGGAATGATGCAGCTAGGCCTTAAGAAAGGTAAACATAGGTTTTTAGAGCTTCTTTTAGCATAACAAATACTGATTCTTAAAATAGGTGGGCAAACTTCTACAGGAAGTTTTGTGGTAGGTTGGAGGAGGGGTATGGGACCAGAATTGCTGAGCCCTCAAAAGTCAAAGAATGTGACAGTGTGAAGACTATGGGAAGTGAGAGGCACTGCTCGGTCTAGACCACCATTTGAAGGTGAGCTGGGTTAATTTTCACTCCATTTGTCTAAAAGCCTTTCTAAGGTAAACAGAGCAGAGAAGTACAATGTGATCCTCAAATAAGCTGGGAAGATAAAACAGAACAAAAAGATTGAGCATAAACGCATAACATTTCAAAGTTAATTTCATAAAAAGAATCATCATTATCTAAAAAATAATTTGTTATTTGAAGGAGTTAGTGCTGAGAAGCCTAAAAATTACATATGAGTTTAAGAAAATAGCATATATTCTCAGGTACTCTGCTAAAAGAGACACTAGTAAAATTCAAGGAACTTTGCAAGATTCTAAGATTCAGACATCCTCTGAAATGTTCTAGATGTTGAGGATAATACATGACATAAAAAATTTGATAGTTCTTTAAAAATTATGTTTCTTCTTTATTTTGTTACCTCTAGGTAAATTATTGTGATAAGGGTACTGTAATGCCCCACTATACAGACACTCAACAGATTTAAATTCTCTTGAAGATCAAATAGACCTCAAGGTACACTTGCTAGATAAAATAAACCAGAAATCTTAAGAGCATACTTAGATCAGTGTAGACAGGCCAGTAATATGTCTAGAATCAAAATACCTACCTAGTGGCTTAATAATTAAAGAATTCTATACTTTGTATATCTAATCTTAATACTTGAAAAAATACACTGTGAAAAGTAGTCCTGTGTCCTCAATTTATTTAATTCCCAATGAAACTCACCAATCCATTTAAGACATGTTTGAAATAATACAGCTTCCTCATATATCTGAAATAACTTCATGTCAAACTCTAGAGAAACAAGTATTGAGTTTATAAGAATGTGTTTCCTTTTCAAACTATGAAAGCAAATCCTGGTTCCAAGGGAAGAATTTCAAACTACAGAGTACATCTTGCACAGATAAACTAAAAGAGAAGAAACTACACACTAAATAATAATTAATTAATAAAATAATAATAATTAATAATAAAATAGGCAAATTAGAGTTCGATGGAGAGGGGACGTTGTTGAAGTACTGGGGAGCGATGGGTGATTTCAAGGGCTTCCTTGCCTAATGAGACCGCGCTCAGAGGAGCCAGCCTTCTTAAAGGCCTGGAAAGAGACGAAAAGCTAGTAACGTAGAGAAATGATCTCAAATCACTCAGTTCTCCATCTCCTCAACAGATTTTTCCAAGTCACAGCATCAATGCTTTGAATTTTCATTAGTCTTCGTTAGCCATAACTTAACAAAAGAAAAATGAACTTACATCTTTCAGCTGTATTTCCATTTCATGAATATTACTCATTGATGAGTTGAAACAGCTTGTAGCCACAGTCTATAAATAAACCAATATTAGTTAACATGATAAATTTAACGATAGGAGTTTCTTAATTATATTTAGTTCCATAATAATACAGTATACTTCACAGGGGCATCCCCGAATCCAGATGTAGTACATGCTGGTGAACCAAGATGCCAAATGATGGGTACCAGGAGAATTAGGATCTCCTGGAAGATTCCTAAGCAGATTAGAAACCCTGAGAGTTCAGATCTAGCTTGACTTCTAAAGTCCTCTGGACCCCAGGATCACCAGAAAAGCCCTCAGTGCATATGAATAGCTCAGTGGTTTTCACCAAAAGAGACAAAACAAAACAACTGGGCTATTTAAATGAAATCTGGAAAATATTAAATTGTCAAAAGATTAAAGTTGTTTTCCAGAATTATATTTGTACTAGTAATAGTATTAATTAGTATTAGTTCACATAGATTATATGGAACTCAAAATATAATTTCTTTACTTTTTTCCCCTTCATTTTCTCATAGAGAAAAAAAGAGAAGCAGATGGTTAGGTGGCCAGGCTAGCCAATAAAACTCATAAAAAGCTGTATTTCAGTCTTTTAACAGCTGTAAGGGAAGAGACTTGTATGAGCCCTGCGAGGAAGCTCCAAATATATTCTTTTTCTCCAAATGTGCACTAGACACTCACCCTAGCATGTAACCCTTTCACCCTCTCAATTTAGTCCTCTAGGTGGAAACTATGACAGAGATAGTTCACCAAACCCCTTTTCGTTTTGCCCTGGGCACATTATACACTGTTTTCCAGCCTTTCCTGTGGTTAATGAGGCCATGAGACTGATTTCTGTCCAAAGGAATGTGGGCAGAAGTGAAATATGCCAATACCAGGCCTGGCCCCCACATCTTCCCCCAATTCCCTACATGCTTTCTGTAGCTCACAGCTGTATATAGAGGCTCTGATGATGGACTCCACCCTAGTTGATGCTGGAGCTACTAAAAGGAACCTGGATCTCTGAATGACTCTGGGAGCAAAGCCACCTCCACCCCAACCTGCACTAGGCAGTGACATGAGGGAAAAATAAACATTTGTTGCATAAGACTCTGAGATTTGGAGAGTGTTTGTTATAGCAATTAGACATGCTGATTAATACAGAAATCAACAGTGGATAGCCCATAAAATTATTATAAGAATACGTTTTAAAAAATTACTTCTACCAAGATTTGCATTTCCATCTTCAAAAGTAGAGAGACTAATTCTTGAGCTTTAAAGATTTCATTTTTTTCCTTTTTCTCCCCAAAGCCCCCTGGTACATAGTTGTGTATTTTCAGTTGTGGGTCCTTCTAGTTGTGGCTAATTCTCAAGCTTTAAGGAAAGGTTTTAGTCAACTACTGTGGATCTGACTGTAATGTTTTATGAGTTTCAGCTCTATGGAAATTCTCTAGAAAAACTTAACCTCGTTGAACTTATCTGTAGAAACACTCACTTGCCCATCTATGAAAGTACATATAAATGTATAGGTCTGATCACTGTGGCTAAAGGGGAGATAAAGTACAAAGACAGACCCTTAACGGTATTGAGATATTATATCTGAAAACTACAGATTTTCTTCTATAGGTGGTATTAATAGTTGTAACTACAGTGTTATTCAAATGTCTAAATTTCCAAAAGAATCAAAGGTCTGATCAATAAGAAACCATTTTTTGAGCACTTACTATATGCCAGGCACTATACTAGGCAATTTACACATATTATCACATTTAATCCCCAGTGTTCTTATCCTGATTTTACCAATGTGGAAATTGAGGTTTAGGAGAGGGGTCTGGTGAATTCTAGCACTGTCTCTAAGGCTGGAGAGGTTAAGGGATTTCTTCAGGGTCCACAGCTAGCAAGTGGCAGAACCAAGATCTGAACTCGGATCTGCCTACCTACAAATCCTTGGTCTTTCGGCTACACTAGTGACTCTGAAACAAAAGTGGGGGAGAAAACGCACATGTAGTTAGGAAAAGCATATTTAATATTATAATTGTGTATCTCAAATATAAAAAATTAAAAAATGAAGACCATTGTTTCCATGATACGAACTACAGAAAAAGAGCTCAATAAAATCCTCTTGGCTACTGTAGATATACAGTGGATTCTGTATTCTGAATCTTCCCTTTGGCAAAACAGTGGTGTGGGGAGCAGAGCAAGCTATATTAACCATTTTTGCTTATGGAGAGGGTACTAGGATGTAAAAAAAATTAACCTGTTAGTATACTATACCGTTTCATCATTTGATAAGCATGTTTGAACAAACTCATTCTTCATAAGAACTACAAATTGTATCAGGAAGAAAAAAAATCTGGGTTTAAAGAAATGATGAGTACCTGTGACAAACGCAGTGTGCTGGCTTTGCCCTCAAGTTCGGCAAGTCTTGTAGTTGCAGCAGACAGCTGTTTTTTCAATACATCTGTCTCTTCCGACAAGGACTTCAACAGCTGTTCCCGCCTTTCACCTTCCTTTGTTTTCTCTTCCAGCTGTTCAAGCAAGGCAGTAGCGTTGTACTTGGCCTTCAGCTGCTCTCTGAGTCGCTGTATTTCTTTGTCCTTCTCCGTGAGTTGATGAGCATTCTTCTCCCTCTCAGCTTCAAGGACTCGAATTTTCTAGATATAAACTAAGAAGAATCTTAGAACAAAGCCAGGTCAAACGTGAAAGTAAACAATATACTACAACAAGCATTTATGAAGAGTTTATTACCTACCATGTCAGCATTATCCTAGATATCAGGGCCAAAAGAAGATGAAGCTAAGGTCTTATGCTCAGAGAGCTCACAGAGAGGTAAACCAATAGTTTAATGCAATGTGGTAAGAGCTATAGTTAAGATATATATAAAATGAATGGGACACAGACACGGAAAGGAGAAACCAACGCTGTTGAGAGTAGTGAGAAAAAGCTAAAGAAAAGCTGGCTCTCACATAAGTATCTGACAATCATTCCTCGATCATACCAGTTCTAATAACCTTAAAGGCTAAAAGTGAGTCACACCAGAGATACATGCTCACTGGTGAACTCCAGCAACAGAACTTAAAAATTACAGCTGGACAAAAATGCTTTCATTAACTTGCTTTTTGTTAATAAATGATTTGGTATCAAATCTAGACAGTGATCTTCAAAGGAGTGGTCAACATTTTCAAGGATTTAAAAGATAAAGAAGCCATGATTGTTAAACTGCTGCTGGCATAGAGAGATGACAGAAAAAATTAACAGAATGACTTACAGACTAACAAGGTAAAAATAACCTAAAACTAAAAACTTGCATTTAGGGGTAAAATAAGCAGTTGTTCTAATATAAAATGGGGAGATTGAGTTGGACGGTTGTGTGAGAATGATGAGGAGATTTTAGTTGGCTACAAGCTTAAAATAAGGCAGTAGTACGATACAGTTAGGGAAAAAGCCAAGAGAATTTTAGGCTTTCATAGAGTATAGCACCCAGATTAGTGGAAATAATAGTATCATTTCAACCTGTGTTTGCCACTGTGTACCATACTGGGTGCATAATTTAGGAGGGAGACAGGTGCACCACAAAGTGTTCAGGAAAGTGATCAGGGACAAGAAGCCAGAAAAGCTGAAGAATATGGGGTTGATTTACAGAAAAGTAAGAGGAAGCAAGATTTCCTCAAATCTGAAAAGTTGTCAATTGGATAAAAAATAGACCTGTTCTATGAAGCTTTAATAGGCACAATGAGAACAGGTAGAAGTTACAGGAAGTTTAATTTCAACTGATTATAAAGGAACAGAGTTGTGACAATCACTGCTCATCAAAAGTGGAATGAACTGGAAAGAGGTCTCTCAGAGAAGCTATTCGATTCCTTCAGAGACTGCAAAATAATCTTTATGTCTAAGAATTGGTGAAGAACCATTTCTCAGTGCTTGACTAAGTATTAACCTCAATTTGTGCTGTTAAAAAAATAATAAATCATTCCGTTTTATGATGTGCCTATAAAATAGAATTTAAAGGACCCAAATAATATTATTTAATACAGCCCATTTATTTTCTAAACATGAACAATAAAAATACTTTTGCAAATAAATTAAAATCAGATCACTGATTAAATTTTTAAATCCTTCCAATTCTAATAAATTCCTAAGTGCTTTACTGACTATGTCATAACAAACTATAAATTAGGGAATCTGAAATACAGTTTAACAGAACACAAGACGTCAGTATACGTAATGATTTTACCTCAAAAAAACCCTGAAAACAAAGATTAGTTGCAAAGCAGCCAATATACATGATAAAACGGGTTTGTAAACACTTACATTAAAATCTGAACTCCATTTAACACTACAAAATGATTAGATTTCTTTTTTTTACATTTAGTGAACTAACAGAACAACTAGATTATCATCATTGTTGGGAAAATACTTCCTCATTTCCTACAGTAAAGCTACTGTAATTTAAAGGGTTTATAAGGCCATTTACCTCCAAAAGTCTGTGTCTGTCTTTATCGGTCAGTTTTCCTTTTCCACTTGTGATTTCATCCACTGATGTTTTTAAAGCTGCAATTTCTCCCCTAAATTTCTCTAATGCAGTTTCTGATTTGGAGTTACCAGCCTTTGATCCCCATTTACTTTTAATTAAATCTTTGGGATTTCTGGAAGACATCTCTGAAACTGTCTGTAAAAATAAAAACACAATGATAATTTATAAGTTTGAGTTTTAAAAAATCAAATCTCAGGTCTGAAAAGGTCTAATAACCTGTCTGCTAAATAGAAGAACCTTTCTATCTAAAAGTGATATAGCCAAACCAGAGGGGTACAGGAGAGGGACTTGGGGAGGCTTCTGGCCTGCTAGTAATAATACATATTTTTAAATCTGGGTGTGGATACCTGGCGGATATTCACCTTTTAAAAAGAGGTCAACTTGTACACTTAAGATTTGTGCAGGATTCGAAATGGGTGTCATATTTCAATAAAAAAGTTTTGTTTTAAAAACTGGAGGGGTAATCAATAATTAAACCATTGAATGAAGGCTGAAAGAAGTAGATCACAATCAAAGACATATTTTACCCAGGAATAAAAACCTAGCGGGAAATAATATAATTCTGAGTACACAGGCATTGAAATATCATTACCTGATATAATGGCATGGCTTCTGTTTTAGAAGATAGGCCTAGTTCAAATATATCTTTTCTTTTTATTTATTTTTTTGCTGAGGATGATTCACCCTGAGCTAACATCTGTTGCCAATCTTCCCCTTTCTTGTACATGGGTCACTGCCACAGCATGGCCACCGACCAGTGGTTTGGGTCCACGCCCAGGAACTGAATCCCGGCTGCCCAAGCAGAGCACAATGAACTTAACCACTAGGCCACGGGACCAGCCCCTAGATCTATCTTAATAGTCAGTTGAGAGAGCACAGTAGGCAGAAGTCAGGAGACTCCAAGTGGAGACATTTATGGGGGAAAAAAAAAGGCACAATATTCAAGGAATTCAGGAATGACAGGAATGATGAATAAGAAGCCAAATAAAGTAAGAAGCTGAGTATCTGCTAATGGTATTAGATGACAGTTTAGAAGCAAGTGCAGAATATAAACTCTAGGAGGAAAATATATTGTGTAACAGACAGTACATATAATCAAAGTAGCTTTAATTAGGGAAGATAAAAAGCATTTTTCCACTTTATGGATCCTGAGTAAAATAATGGTGGTGTGACTAGGGAATCTAGAATATGAGATCATCTATCCATTCAAAAAATATTGGCCAGCCTACTATTCACTAGGCAGCATGACAGGTGCTAGGCATAAACTGGTAAAAGAAAAAAAAGAGAGAGAGAGAGACCCACTCCCTTACATAACCGAACTTTCAATCTAGCAAAGGAGACAGGCAATAACAAGGAAACAAATACAGACTCTCAAGTTGCAAAATAAATGCTATGCAGTGATAAAGAACAGTGATAAAGGACAGCAGTAAAAACAGGAGACCTACTTAGACAAGGTGGTGGGGGTAGGCCTCTCTGTGGAAGTGAGTCATCCTGTATGAAATCAGAGAGCCTGAAAATACTAGAACTGTACAGACTGAGTTGAACAGACCATCGATTAAAGGTTAGTCCTGGATTTTTGGCCATTCCAAGGTGAAAGACTAAGGTAACCAGGGAACCAGCTGATGCTATTGCAAGGTTGCTGTTTCTCAAGAACCTGCTGCCACAGAAGTTCTTTCCCACGTGCTTCTGTTCAAATCACGCTGTTGATTTGATCTAAAGGGTTGATAGGACAGAAAACGACTTTTCAGCCAAGTCCCTGAAACACAGAATGGTGGAACTCTATAGATCATAGAACTGGAAGGAAGCTCTGGACGTCTGCTTCCTGACCTTTAGACAGAACTTCTGCAGGGAACGACTATTCTTTCTAGCTTCTGGCCTGGTCTCTGCTAGGATCTCCCAGCTCCCCACCGTTGAGTCCTACCCAGCTCCTTTTCCTGTATTTTCTATTGGTCAGGCCAGTATTCTTAGGGTTCACTGTTCAGACATCACCCAGCCCAGCTGCCCCTTCTTCCGGAGGCCTTCCCTCTGCGAGCTCTAATGAGCCACATGGTCCACAGCGCACAATCTGGTACTCGGCTGTTACCCCCGTGCTTTTTTCATTTGTTCAACAACTGTTTCAGGGGCTGAACCTTGAATTATCTTTGTCACCCACAGAGCCTAAGAGCAGGTGCTCAAAAGATATTGATCGATTGGTGAAGTGATCTAAGACAGGCTGGACAGGAGGTGACTAAAGAAACATTTCACTCCGGCAAACTGCACAAGGCCACGTCGTCCTCGAGCGGAGGCACATCTTACAGAAACCCTCACACAAGATCTCCCACGGGGAGACGGACGCGCAGAGAAAACTGCGCAAAGCCACTTTTTTCTCGCCTATAAAATGAAGATGTTTTTAGAACAGACATGAAAGTGCTTAATCGGCAATTGCTGTACTAACAAAAAATCTTGGCCAAGTCACTCGGTCTCTCTGCGCCTGTCCGAAAGAGGATGATAATACCCACCAAGAAGTCGAAGGGAGGGATGGAAACCACGACGGCCGTGCGGCGCCCAGCCCGATGCCGGGCTCGAGGTGAGCGCCAGGGGAGGGGACTTCGATCAGGGCGCGCAGAGATTGTGAGTCCCAGCGGACGCGATCTGTCCACCGACACCGCCTCCCTCGCGGTCCGGCCCGCCCGGCCCCGGGGCGCAGGGCTCTGGCCGCCCCTCACCGCCCTCCGCGGTCGCCTCCCCGCAGCCAGCCAGCACCTGAGGCGATGCGCGGCGCTCGTGTCAGCCCAGTCACACCCTCAGGCGCGGAGGCCGCTTCCGGGAGTTTGAATCCCGCGGCTGCGGGGCGGGGCACGTCACTGCCGGCGGGGGCAAGCCCGGCAGGAAGGAGGGGCGGCACGCGCAGCGGCGTCGCGGCTTCCTGATTGGCTGCGGGCTCCGAAGGGCGGGGCCAGGGACCTAAGCGCCGACGGAGAATGGGACGGAGGTGGGCGGGGCCGCGGGCGGGAACGCCTCCCCCCGGGTCTGCCACCCTATTCTCCGGCTCTTGAGTTTTTCTGAGGGCTCAGGTCGCAAGGTCGGTGTTTCTTTGTGAGGAGGTTTGTGGTTATCCGCTCTGGGGATGAAGCAATTAGTATGCTCAGTGATAAACCCTGTGGCTGTGAACTGGGACTAACTCGTTCTGTGTCCTTGAGCATCGCTCTCCCTTCCGAGTACCAGTTTGGCCCAATGTAACATGGGAGAACTGGATTCCACAAGGGAGCACAGCCTCCTGTCTTCCCCTTGGGCTGAGCCTTAATCCTGCCAAAAGTCAGGGGTGAGAAATGGGAGTGTAGCAGGTGGGAGAACTGATAGGCACACCCAGGTTGAGCGCGGAGATTATGAGCCCTAGAGGAAGTGGGTTTAGGAGCCCCGGAGGAAGCTAGGCGGGCGTTCGCTCCAGATTGCTGCCCTCGGGCTTGATAACTGTTAGTCAAGTCTGGGTCACGGTTGGCCGCCTTGAGGACTTGATTACTAAAACAATGAGGCACAGTAAGTGTTTGGCAGAGCCTACCTTTCTCTCTTAGACCAAGCGTAAACTCAGCAGAGACCTAAAGCAGTATATAAAAAGATACAGTAGCCAAACGGCCCCGGGCAGGCAGTGTCGCACACCGGTTAAATTCTAGATGAGGACTGAGACTAGCTCCTGCCTGCCTCTTCCTGGCTGTGTGATCTTGAATAAGTTATTTAACCTCACTGAGCCTCAGTTTCCTGGTTTGTAAAACGATGCAAATAATATCTACCTAATAGGGTGGTTATGAGAATTAAATAAGAGAATCCACGTAAAATGCTTGGCATTTAGTAAATGCTCAATTGATGTTAGCCATTATTACGCAAAGAGCAACAAACTCCTATGTTACTAAATAGAATGGATAAGAAACCATCTAGAGAATTTTAAGAATTAAGAAAAGAAAACCCATGAAGATAACATTTGATCCTTGCTTTCAAGAAGCTCACATTTCTGAAGGAAAAGTGAAGAGAATTGGGTTCTTTCATATCTGTTGTGTTAAAGTATCAGATGCAAAAGATAAGTGAGGGTGTCAATGTTATTCATTGCCCAGAGTTGAGAGGAAGGGCGAAGTTAGTTTCCGTAGAAATTTACCAAGATTTTTAGAGAGAGAAATCTCCCTGCTCAGCTTTGAGCCAAATGGGGAGTAGAGCTGGGAGGGATTGGGAGGGACTGTGTGAAGAGGGGCGGCACCTGTCAGACTGGCAACTGGGGGCCTCATGCTTAGACCTGCTGGGCCAGACACCCCAATTACACATCTGCTCCCCAGGTCCCTCTCTTCTGGTGGGAGCTCTCTCTGTGACTGGGGACCCCTAAGGAAGAGGAGCAAGCAGGAGCTCGTTGGCCTGGTGGCTTGTTTAATTTTATAACTGTCATTGTTACACCTGGAAATTGATGTTTGCTCTTCACAGATAGGTGTTGCCAGGCATGAAGTGTGAGGAGCTGGTAGTTTGCATAAGGCCCCACAAGGTGACAGTATTTTGATGTTGACAGTTCACTCAGAGGATTCAAGGATTCAAAATTCATCTATATTCATTTACAGAGAAAAATGTAACAGCCAAGCAGACTGGAATTTGTCTCAGCAAGTTAGCTCATTTTCTTCCCAGTAGGAAAATCTTGGGAAACCAAAACAGTACCAAAAGCCTGCTGAATGGATTTAGGCTTAATTAGAGGAAATAGTGAGGCTGTGGTAGATGAATGTGCCCATCACCTTTGAAAGGTTCTGTCTTCCAGAGGGATGCTAATGAATGCCTAGGGCCTCACCACCCTAGTTGCACAGCTCTAGCTGTGCTTTCCAGTACAATTTTCTGCAATGATGGAAAGGTTCCTTCTGCTCTATCTAGTAGGGTAGCACTAGCCACATATGGCAGTTGAGTGCTTGAAATGTGGTTGCTGTGGTTAAGGAACTGAATTTTTAATTTTACTTAATTTTAATTTAAAAACCAATAGTTGATTCAGTATTGGCAATCTTTTAAACATGTTTAGAATCGCTTGGGTATGTAAATCTACTTTTTCAACTGTAAAATCTAAATAAAAATCTAAATACAGATGAAGTATTTCTGAGGAAAATTTTGTGTCTGAGTTGAGACGTGTGAAATATACA